CCTGTCTCTTATACACATCTTATATATATCATTTTATCCAATAAAAACTCCACCAAGGGAAAGAGAATTACAAAAAGTAATTAAAATATATAAAAAGTGCACAATAAAACTAAACAAAATACAAAACAAATTTGCATCTACAATTAATCATGAAGCAAATTGAAAGTTTTTGCTTAAAAAAGCATTAAATACAAATTACCTAGATAAGTATAAACAAAATTCATTAAGATGTTTACCTACCCTAAATTGTCATATATGCGGTGAATAAATTCTCATTAAAAAAAAACACCAATATTTAAGCAATAGATATATCAACTCATTTATTATTGTGTTTTTTTTTTATTATGCTTTTTATTTTATTTTTAGTTTAGCTTTAAATAGTCCCACATGTAGAGAAATGCTTGTGGTAGGATACCCTTTTCCACATACAGTATTTTGAAAAAAATGTGATAGGCCTATGTAAAAAATATGTTTTATAGTGACATTTGTGGCATAAAGAATTGAAATTAATAATTGTATTATTATTATTATTATTATTATTATTATTATTATTATTATTATTATTATTTTTGTCATGAAAGCATTTCTTTCACTGTCGCAGATATCAGACTTTAAACATTTTCTGTATGCATATATACTATAGGTCTACTACAATCTGAAAGCATACTATCGTTCTTTTAACAGGATGGAAAGTGCCATTGGTTTTTTTTATTGAGATCAGCCTCAATACAACACCAGTAATTTGTAGATCGTCATTGTTATGATTATGAGAAAATGAGAAGCAACAGGTAAGCGAGGCATTCGTCGTATGCGTAAAGGTGCTCTGTAAAACGATAAGCAATGTGGGGTTTAGTTTACATTTAGTACAATGTTATGCCTAAATTACATTAGCAGATATACAAATAGAAAAGTCTGAGATAACATGGTATGAAGGTCCATGTAGTCGATCGAGTTTACACTAACTGGCATAAGAAAAGGGACACTTAATTGTTTAATCAAAAGACCTTTCTTTTTAATGAAAAAAATCAGGATCAATCTAAATATTTAAATATATTAATAATTTAATTCAATTATAAACGGCAAGATAAAGTTAATAAAACATGCTGATTTTAAAAGTAAGTAGTATAGGCCTATTCAAATTTATTTATTAACAATTTAATATAAAAAAGGAATAGAGGCCTTGAATCCTTTGACAAATGTTCTCCTCTGATTTAAGGGTGCCATATACTGTACTGTACACATTATGTTATCAAATAAAGTATTTTTCAAATTTTGTGAATATGTGGAACCAGTTTATTTTATATATAAATAATATAAGTTAAAGTACTATTACTTTTATAGCATACTACATGCTGTCTTTTGCAATTAGAATATTTTTCATGACAAATGCACACTTTGCATTATTAGGAAGAGGGATGGGGAACTTTTGTAGTCTAATTTAGCGGTGGCGCCAACTGATGGGGAGGGGGATCAGACATGCCTGGATCCCACCACCTCATCACCCCCCCCCCCTCGTCCGACGCCATGACGAGGTCATCTGACCAGAAATAATAAATTGCCTATCTAAATAGTGATTAACTTGCAGTGCGAATAACCGTTTTGAAGTTATTCGCACGGCAGGCCGTGCGAATAACCGTTTCGGAGTTGTTCACACGGCCTAATAAATGGTAGCACAATTTGGGTCATACTAAGCCATAAAAACATAAAAACTCCCTCCCCCTCGGACATGTCGGACCCAATGTCAGCAAATTTCTGGCGCAACCATTGGTCTAATAACCAATTCAATTACAGTACCTTCAGTTTTCACGACGTCTTCAGTTGGCAATAATAGGCCTACACTTTTCTAGACAACATACACTCTAAATTTTATCCTTTAACTGTCACCAATAACATTATGCTATCATTATGAAAAATCATTAAAAACAATACCACCATTTTCAAAAGGGGTTGATAACAAACATATTTTGCTCTAGAGGGCACTGTTTGTATTCCGAGAATAATCTTTATTACTTTTATTGGGCTGAACTTGATCTTTCAGGTGGCTGATTTATAGACAAAACAGTTTCTTCTATTCTCTCATTTTTTCAAATGTATTTTAACATTTGATAAAATTCCCTCAAATATCAGTGCAAAGATGCACATGGTTGCACTAACCATTTCCTCTGCTTAAAGCTGTAGGCAGAAGCCGTTCAGATACAGTATTACAAGAAAACTGAAATTTTAATGTCGCCTATATAAAAGCGTTTGCCAAATTATCATCGATTTCAAGGATTTGTCGGTAATTATGTGGTAATACACAGCTTGGTCGTGTGTTAATGTGTTAGGACCATTCGGTTTACAGCAAAACAGGCATTCCACTAAGTACTAAAGATGAACAATTCCATAAAAACAATTTAATTCGTGCGCTGTTTCGAGGTATAGACCTAGTAATAGCCTAAATTTGAGCAATACAACTCAATATTAAATTGATTCATAAGTGTTTAATTGTAAGCTATTAACTTTCAATTTAAGTTCGAGAAAATATGTCCTCTCCAATTAAAATACATTAAGATGCTTAATAATTCGTCGATTAAAATTTAAAATGTGTGCGCTGTTTCGAGCTAATAGAACCTTGAAAAATGTAATAATTGCTTCCTGTAATAGCTATTAACTTTGAACTGAATTTCGAGAAAATATTTCCTCTCAGATAAACGCTTACAATTCTTATATTTGTAATTAGTAGACCCCGGGTGTTCAACCTTTTGTGCTGCTGGCCACTTATCTGTTTGGCTTAGTGGCAGCGACATAAATTGTGTACTTTCAAATTATTAGGCCAGCCTTGGTTTTTCAACATTAATGTGATAGGCCTTGTTTTGTTTTTTTCAAAATGAAGGAATGCAGTAGCATAAAGAAGGGTGGAGATATCCACTGAAACGCAGCCCATCACTGCGGTGAACAAATTTAAAAATAGACAGATCTAGTTTCCCTGCGGAAACGCCATTTTCAGACTGTAAAAATACGTTTTTTAAGCAGTGTTTTTTCAACAGAATGACATGCTCTCGAGCCTGCTTGCTTGATCAGCTACTGGCGCCACCAACTTAGACATAGCATCATATAAAAAACAAAGCTGGATTTTTCTGTGCCGTATCCAGGGGTGCTCGGGGTGATACTAATGTACCTATATGGGCTAATACTATAAGTACAATAGCGCCGCGCGAGTACAATTAGTTCGGCACTACTCTCTGGCGCGGCACCACTGACCTCTACCTCTGTATACTAATAGAGATCAGTGTGTGCGGTACCCTGTCCACCATACACTGGCGGAATCAAGGAGGCAGCCAGCCATTTTTTTTTTTCAAAATTATTTAAAAAAAAAAAAAATGCAGAAAAAAAGAAATTATATCCAAATTTAAGTTTTTGGTGATAATTGCTACAGCTTTTTTTTTTTATTCTGTTTTCTTTTAGAGCATTAACTTTACCTGGAATTGCAAAAAAGTTGGATTTTCCTATGTTATGATTACGTTAATTCATGCTTCAAAAAAATGTACAGTATTATTATTTCCAATATGTTATAAACATAGATAGAAAATAAGACCAGCTACCAGTTGGATAATGGTTTGCAGGGGTTTTTTCACGTATTTCCTTTTATAAGGTACCGGTAAATTTTAATGTGGACAATCATACGTTACTTCTGTATATACATTAGATAATTAGTAAATTTGATTAACCCATCGAGTCTGTTATTTCAATTCAGTACAATCCAAGGCTTATTATCAGCACGTTTTTTGTGCTTTTTATTTTGTTTTTAATTTTCCGTAAAATTTCAAGATTACAAGAATATCTATTGAGCAGTCCACACCCCTATTTTTTTCAAAATTAAAGGAAAAACATAAAATTCTGCAGTTGCCATAATCCTAAATGTTCTTACCTCAATCGCAACAGTGCTGTGACTAAGGTGGTGCAGACCTTCAAATATGTGAAAGTCCCTCACTGGGCACCCTCTATATCAAATTGCTGGGTCCGCCACATGGTGATTTTATCTAGCTTAATATTATATCAATAATCAGCTTTATATTTATTAAATATTTATAAGAAATCACAATACAACTCGTCTTATAGTTTCCTGAATGATTATTTCAGGATGATATATCATTCTGGTCATTTGATGAGAATCACACCACACCAATCAACAGTGAAGCTCAAATTTATGTCACAATTAAAAAGTATTATTAATTTTTGTTTTTGTTGACTCAATTAGTCAAATATGAACAGTTTAAAAAGGTATACGGATATCCGAGGTAGAAAATACTGAAAATTTTCACACCTCAGCAGCAACAATGGTGGCGTTGACGTGGTCCAGATTCTCTCTTCAGCACCACCTTCTTTGAATCCTGGAATGCCTGCTCTTGCCTTGACGGAAAATGATTTATTTTTTAGCAATGTTGCGCAGCGCAAAAAGGTTACCTCTTGCACTGGATGTCCTCTGCCAAGAAACATTCGCAGTCATTGACTGTAGTGTAATGTTTGACAAGTCAAACCCCACCCCCTCCCTGAGCTTGTTGGACCAAAAAAAAAAAAAATTTAAAAGCAGGCCTTCACCGAGCCAAAACATGTCTTTCACAGTCGTAGAGTGCCATTTCCATCCAGAGGTCCCTATTTAGAAAAAAATTGCATCTGGAGAGGGGGGAACACCTCTCCCCCTCTTCAGGCCTACAAGCACAAAGCCCCCCCCCAAGGAGAATTTATCCTGGAGCCGTCACTGAGTGTCAATCAAACTTAACAACTGACCAATCAGAACAGAGCCAGGAATACCCGCGTGTTTAACAAACACACATGGTGTCCCACAAACGCACGTGTTTGCTTATGTTTTTTCTGTCTTTTTGTGGACCTTATCAACGATCCAAGGGGGTGGGCTTAGCGGAATGGTCTACTGCACAGAACCTTTTGGCATGCAAAGCACTTGATAGTTGAGATTTTCTATACAAGCATTCATATCATAAAAATTGTCATGGAAAAGAAATAAATTGAAACCTAAAAACCTGGTAGAAGAGGAAATCAGGCTCATCTCAGGAAAATTTGGTCCGGGGCTAAAATCGGTCTGCCAGACTTTTTTTTGTTCTGCAATAATTTTGGCGCGACATTGACAATAAAATTACATAAGCCATAAAACTTTGAGCACAAAAGCAAATTTATTATGAACTTCCATAATAACAATATTTATAGACATATTATATACAGTTCAAAACGAAGTCGCGTGGAGAATAAAACTTTTGGAATTATTTTCTCCAAACTGCCAACTATTAAAAGGTTTTAAGAAATCAATTACAATTCATGTATTTTGTGTGCTTTTATTGTTTATATAGTGGAAATATCAAGCCATTGTGTATGAACCAATCTGTTATAATATAGGATTTATGAGATTATTTTTAAAGAAAGGAATTCCAAACATTTGTGATCATTCTGCATCTTCTTGTTCTTCAGGAACAGGAGAAGGTTGTGGCTGCTCCTCTGCTTCCTGGTCTCCTCCTTCCTGGTTATCTTCTGTCTCCACTTGGCCGTTATTTTCTGCCTCTGCCTTAACCTCACCTTCAGCGTCTGAAGAATAAAATAGGACGCAGATATCATTTGTAAGCATTTTGTATTCTTGTACTTCAAAAAACAAAAACATAATGGGAGGACTGAAGGTTTTAGTCACAGCAAGTGTCAAACCAAGAGCTTAGCCTAGGGTGTTTCGGAAGTTTGAAAGAAACCCCCTTATTTAAAGTGCCCTTTCAAAATATCAATTACAAGTTACAACTATTATTGAATAAAATAATATATCAGAAAGCCTTATGTGCAATATGGCCCATGTGCACATTAAAGACCAAAGTCCACTCTTCAGAAAAGAATAAGGGATTGGCTCTCAGTGAAATGCCCAATCACCACAAGAAGAAATCAACTGGATAAGGTCAGCCCGCTTCAATCCAATCATCATCCTCCTCCTCACCAACACTACTATAATACTAACAACCACCACCATGTGCTCAAATTCAAGATAAAAAAAAGAAAACCAATCAACAGGGGTCCTACCACTGACAAATACTGTCCCGACTATTGTACTGTCATGGGTATGGTACGCAGTTGGTGTAGTAAAAGAGAAGTTGGTTATTCAATCATTTTGGTTCAATCTACAAACAAATAATGCTGCAGCCTCTATTGTGCCTTCCATTCCAGGTCATTGAATCATGTGTGACCACTGAATCACATTACACCTGATTTGAGGCTGTTGAATAGGATTCTTGCTTTTGAACTAGTAGTTGTAGTTTCACATGCACATGACATGTCAAAGGTCAGTGCAAATATACAAACAATATTGCAACTAGTATTGTCTGAATTTTTACTGAGCATTATTACTCAACAACTTTTGGTCTTTATGAATATTAGCCAAATACTGTAAACATTCATTAAATTATCTACCATAATTTTTTACAGCAGATGAACACTGTGTAGCTCGGCGATTTTATGCTGCAACATAACAAAAACCTGAAAATAGACGTTAATTAACAATAACCAGTTCAACATCAGCAGATGGCGTCAAGAGCTAACACAGAGCGAACATATGGGTTTGTAAATGCAAATAGATGGATGTCCATCAGTCATGCCCAGTCATGTCATGTCTTTTATTTGCCTTGACCTTTAACACTACCCACGTCATTAAGGGCATGAAGCTATGAGAGATTTTTTTTATATGGATGTCCTAACTGCTCAGGTTATGGATAATGTGGTGCACAGCATTTTCTGATGTTGCACAATATGGAATGCTTATAAAAGGCAAATCATAAGTCATGAAATGCTTTGTTCTAATGAAGTTAATCAGAATGCACTTTTGTTAGCTGATGTTTCATCACAGTGCACTTTTGTTAGGTGACGTTTCATCATGGTTCACTTTTGTTAGGTGAAATTAATCACATGCAATTTTTTCTTCAATCACAGGTACTACACACAGATTAGGTTAGTCATGTGCCATGATTGTTTTGTCAAGCAAAATCTGGCTTTTATATAGCATTAACCTAATGAAAAATTTGGTCACAAACCCAGCTCCTCTTCCATATGCATTACAGTACGAGTTGAACCATGTACATACTGAACTATCAAACATTAGACTTGTATATATGTGGCAGGTAGTGGTATTATATTATTAAGTATTATCAACAAGGACTATCAAAGTGTACTGAAGATGACGATAGATCACAATGATAATATTACAGCAAAACATCAAAAGTAAAAATATAGATGTAATTAAAAAAAAATATTAATTAGTTATAAAAGAAAGATACACTCAGTTTGCATAGAGAATTAGTAACAATATCCCATCTGTAAACAGGAGACATAGTGAAGGGAATTGCTAGGCACTGCACACATCATGACCTCTACCTTCATGCGGCTTTTCCTCTGTTTTAGCCAGTTCTTCAGTTTCTCCTTCTTGTGTTTCTTCAGCTAATAATTTTTTAATACGATCAAATCAAATGTACTGTCTCATTTAAAGTATAGCTCTGTCCACATGATCAAGTTTTATATGACAAATACCAGCGTTCACCCATATATGGGTGTGATGAAGTCAACATGCCCATATATGGCAAAACACTGGAATTTGTTGTCACAAAAATTTGATAGTCTGGATATAGTTAGTTTGTACTTAGATGTAGATCATTATCGGACCTTTAATAAAAATAATTGATTTGCACAGTAATAAAAAAAATAGAGGTTTAAATAAGTTTACTGGAAGCAACATGTATTGAATATATTCAAATAAAGTTTGCTGCATAGCACCGTAAACACAACAAACAAATAGATAAATAATCATAATATATAAACTTGAATGACTGTTAAATACAGTAATAATGATAATCATAATTAAAAAAAATATCATTAATAATAATACTATAATACCATTAATAAGTGTAATTGTAATTATTTAAAAAATAGTAACAGTAATACAAAAAATAATATCTACAAATAATTATATGAACATTATTAATGCTGAGCGTTTGGCTGAAAGATAAGTAGGGTGGCGCTGTACTGCAGCTGCAGAGGGGCCGCAGCCCAAATTTCCAATTTCTGATTAGGATGAGGACAGATAATGAATTATTATTATTGTTCCTGCTTCTTGCTCTGTAGGCCCTGGTTCTAACCCAGCCAGCAACATGCTATAATTTGAATCAGATCGTTCTACTCTTCAAATGATCCTTGCGTGAGATTTAAGCGGGATATGGTACAATGTATCCATTACATGTCGGTACTGGTGCTGCATTGCGGTTGCCGAGGTCCCCAAGAGCCCAGCCAAAAAACATTAATAACATAATTGTTTACCATTTTCTCCTTCACCGTCTTCATTTTCTTCGGCTTTCCTCTGCTCTGCAAGCTGTTCAGCCGCAGGGTTGCGTTGACTAATTGCTGTTATTTCACCAGCTCTCCACTTTGGAATCATCACAGTCTGTGCTTCCTCCTCCTCATTTTCGCCCCCTTGATTCTGTTGAATGATTTAAAACCATAAATAATTGATAGTGTATTTCTATAATTATCAATTTACAAACTTCATATACATTAGTACACTTTACATTGTACTTATGTGACATATAACCGCAAAATGAGTTGCATACAGTAGTTAATGGTATATCCACATATACGCTAATTTTGGTTTTTAAATAGCTTTCCTAGGATAAGTACATACAGAGGTGTGAGCTGTTGGAGTTTGGAAAAAATATATTTATAAGATATTTGGAAAACATATATTTATAAGATATTTGGAAAACTTGTTTTGAGAAAAATCACCCTCAAAATTAAATAAACTAGTAGGATTTACCTCTTTGAACTACTAATAATAATGTGAACAAGATTAATTATAATCAAATTTCGGGACTGGAAACAAAATCTGCACAAAGAGCACTTTTGTGCAAATTTTGTTTAAGATATACTGACCTGTTCAATAAGCACATACTGGCCATGCTGTTCACATCCAATGTCAAATACATACTTCCCTTTACCCTGAGTCTGAAATAAACACGTACTGGTTACATACATTAAACATTACAACATTTAAAATTAGTCAACAAATTCATTTAATATGAATATTACTTTTTTGTTGTGTACTGTTATGTTCTGATTGTAGAAGAACTTAACACACTGTTTGAAAATACTGGTACATCCTAGCATTAGCAGAACTAATCACAAAGCAACTGGTTACAAATATGAAATACCAAGACATAAACAGAAAACTTAACATGCAAATACACAACAGGGTTGTCTCAATGCACCCCTGACCCAAAGGAGCCAGTGATGTTTCTAAATTTGGTATTATTATTTTCAAAATAAATATTTAATAAACAGAATAATTGCTCCTACCTGGTCGTCTACCCATAACCCTTGGTATCTGTGGTTATTATGTATCAGTTCTCCCGCACCATCTCTCTTGCCTTCCACCCAGGTTCCTACATATTTAGAGCCTGTATCTTTATAGGTGTACACTCCCTGTCCATGCCGTTTATGACTCTGCCATTCCCCCTCATATGCGTCTCCGTTGGGATATGTGTATGTTCCGTAGCCATGTCTCTGGTCATCAACCCAATTCCCTAAATAAAACAACATATTTATTATCAATTATATTCCACAAACTATTCAAGTTAATATATCTATTGTATGTCCACAAAAAGAAGTCAAAGTCCTTAATGAAGAGTTCATGAAATGATTGGAATAAAATATTAAAGCTTTTTAGCTAATAAAGAAAAGGAAATTTGCAAAACATGGTCATTGGAAGCAAAGAGAAGAGAACTTTAGTACTCTGTACTATTGAGGGAAACGTAAAACAGCGTGGATGGATTGAATAAGATTGGCAATGATTTGCATCATGCAAGACAAACTGTGATAGGACGTAAGGCTCTATTAAGGGATAATGGCTTTCATCATTATTAGATAGCAAAGACTTGAAGCAGAAAGATGCCCAGTGGTCTATCCAGAATAGAGAGGGCCCAGGGAAAGACTTTCAAAGATATGCGGGGATGGGGGGGTGATGTCAATACCATTATGGTTGCGGCTGAGGTAAGGAAATTTATGATTATTGCACCTCGGGATGGCCGAAAATGAAATTCTCAGACTTAAATTTGAATATACAATATTTTCCTTTTTTCTCAATTCTTTTTTTAATTAAAAAACAAATTATAGGGGGGCCCCGGGCGAGCTAAATTCACCACCTAAAACAAAAGTGCAGATAATGATAATATTATATTAAGTATATTTATACAATGTATTTTATGATTAGTTTATATCCATCTAGTTATTGTTGTTCAAATTTAACACCTTTCTCAACTGATTACACAACTTGAAATTGATTAGAATGTTTTTAAAAAAAATTGATTACATTGTAAGAGACATTCTACTAGTACAATCAAATTTTAAGCTTTTAATGGAAGTAAAGGTTGTCATTTGATATCATATACCTTCATATCTTGAACCATCTGGATAAATAAATGTGCCGGAACCATGTTTCTTGTTGTGTTTATATTCACCTGTATACCGTGCCCCATTTTTGAATTTGTACAATCCCTGAAATAAAAAAAAAAGGTATTTAAGAAATATACAATTTAGTATTAAATGATAATATTGAATAAATGTTTAACATAATGAGCTAACAACTGGTGTGGAGGAACAAATGGAATCATGGAATTATCAATAGAATTCTGAAGAGGAATCTGAATGACAGACAAACAAATATGGTAAAACAATTAGCATGTTGAGAAATTTGGGGAAGATAAACGCAATATCCATGATAATTATTGAACAGAAAATTTGTCGCTTCTATATGTTAAAAGGTGATTAAAATGAAGAACCAATGACAATTCCCTGACAAAATAAACCATTATTGAACATAGGAATGACCAGACAATTGAGACTGTACATACCCTGCGTAAATTATGTAAAAATATTAGATACTTAGTAAAGGAACAATTAGATCTAATCCTAATTGTAAATTAATATTGTACTAATATCAAATGAACCAATGAGGACTTACCTGACCATGCCTTTTGCCATTTTCATAAAGACCTTCATAAATATCTTCATTTGGAAGTGTAGCTTTACCATGCCCATGTCGTTCATCTTTCTCATTGCGTTCACCTTCATATTCCTAAATAAAGACACATTTTAATGAAAATAAGCCTTAAAAATCTCAAAGCCAAGAAGAAACAAGGTTCCTGTTTAAAGTTTGGCAGCCCCAAGAAAGAAGAAAAAAGCTATGGCACCTGTAAAAATATATACAAATATATATATCTAAAATACAACAGTACAATACTAAAAATATTATTTATAAATAAATAAATAATTAATTAATTAATCAAAATATCATGATATATAAATAATAAAATAATTAAATATTGGTTTTGAGATAAAGCCACTGGCTGATTATCTAGATTATGTTCGTTTCTTGTATGTTATGCCTGATCTGGGCTTCTCACGTTTAACTGAATAAATACATATGTTAAACCTTTCCCATCAGTCTTTTTATCACTTAATTCAATAAAAAATACTTACTATTACAACTATCAATATTATTTTAAAATTAGGATATTTAATACTAATAATAGTATTTCATTAAAATGGAATTGACTGAAAACGCACAATACAAATTGTGTATCATATATCAGTGGTCGCAGCCAAACTTGTTGGCGGACACAAAATAGTCCTACACCGGAATGACTAGCATAATACCACCTACTACTGGGCCTTAGGCCTAGGCTAGTTTTTGTGGCATCATCCTTGCAATTAAAATATTTTACAGTATACTACTACTACTACTTAGCCTAGTAGGGCCTAGTGTAGTACTGTCTGTCTGTTGTAGTAGTACTACTAGGCCTAGTAGCAGTAGAGTAGGCCTCGCCTAGGCCTAGTCCCTTTTTAGGCCAGACCCAGGCTAGGTCAACAAGGTCTAGAATTCATGAGTGTGCTGTGTAGGCCTTAGCCTAGCCCCAGGGCCTAGGCCTATCTCGGCATTTTTAGTACTGTACTACTACTACTTGGCCTATGCCTACTACTAGCCTAGTATCCTAACCTGGCACACCAGTAAATGAGCCGACCCATCTAGCTTGCCTTACCCCATATAGGCTACTAAAGCTAGCCTAGCCAAGCCTGCCAGGGTAAGTAATCTCAGTGAATTTACAAAAATTACACCATATATTTACTCCTAAATATGGTCCTTGATCGTCTTCATCAAAATCTGATCCAAGATCGGACATATTGCAAGTCAAAATGTATTTATAAAGTATAAAAATGCTGTTGTCAACCTGCAATATTTGACAAGGCTACAGTCGACGTTGTTCCGTTTGTACTGACCGTACCATAGCAACGGTAAAGCTGAGTTTCTGTTTAGATTCACCTATTATTACGCTAGGATGAAATACTTTACAAAACGAAAGAATTACGTAAGGTTATAATACATTTGGAGAAAGATGAATATTCACAATATTTACAATATTTAAAATTTAAATTACTTATGTAGTTTATATAATGATCAGATTAAAATAACATACAAGTAAATATCATTAGTGAATGCTAATTGCCACAATCAATAATGGTGAAGTCTGTCGAAGTAGGATCGAACTAACAATAGTCGAAGCTGCACGACTCAAACGAATCAAATGTTTGTCTTGGGTGCTTTAACAAAAAGAAGAAGAAAAAAAAGATACTTTTAATTTGATAAACTTCTTTATAATATAACGTATAGACTTAACATTAACCGTATTTCTTGATACAATGAATTAATATTCATATCCCTTATGACTGTTATCCTATACTTGTGTCAAGTTTTATATATATGTCATCGTATATCGATACATTCAACAATATCATTCAACAAATATGGTATATTCTCTGTCTTTTGTGTACAAAGAAATAGATTAAATAATAATTTATTTAATTTATTATATTGATATAAATACGTTTTCTTTTAAATATTTAGGCTGTTATTGTAATGTAAATGTTAAAGATTTGTGTGGCCTATGTTCCGTCTTGTAGTTTAGGCCTATATGCAATACCTTTTTTAATTTCCAATACAATAAATTAATAATTAAGTATTTATATGTATTTTTATTATTTTTATTATTTATTTAGGCACACAATACATGTGCCAAGGATTGTCAATAGCGAATATATCACTGTCCTACTTGTAGGTGACAATCCCTTACACGATGCTTTTACACAAACTAAATCTCAATATGAGATTTAGGGAGTGGAGTTGTTTTGGTCGTGAGAAAAAATCCTGCAACACTGACAGGAATTGAACCCAGGACCCTGCAATTGGAAGGCAAGCATCTTAACCACCAAGCTATTCAACTCCACTTATATATGTATATGCAATAACTTTTTTAAATGTCATTAAAAAATTTTATTATTAATAATATAACAATTCATTTGTACAATAGGATAATGTTTTTATTATAATGCCTAGACATAATGTATTAGGCCTAATGCATCCTACAATTGTCTTTTCGCTGCTGGATGATGATTTGAAATAAAAATTAAAAATAATTTTTTTTTAAAGAGAGGTGAAGAAAAAGTGCTTGCCTGAACCAAAAAGAATATTAAATATATGGTATATCCGCTATTAATAGGCCTAGATTAAACTTAAATAAAATGAAAATCGTTTATACATATCAGTGATTTATTGATCATCAGTTGGGCTTTTAGTTTTAAACCCCAACTTTTCTGGAAATTGGCCCACACTGCTATTCCTCTTCGTATTATTGTCAATTTTGGCCCTTGTCAATGGAACTAATTTTCCGGTAAAAATAATAATTCCACTTCTATAGCGCATTCCGCAAAAAAGCCTCAATGCGCTTTACAATGTCCTCATTATATGAATTTTTATCGGTGTTAATGCCAAAGGTCGTGTCCCCCTGGCCTTTTGAATTGAGGGGACACGTCAATTTAAGGATGTGTCATTCTGCAGTATAAGTCTACTAATACTAATATTAGAAAATCTATTCAATATCATTTTGTTGCAGCAAACGACCTCAAATTCACTAGAAAGACACATATATTACTATGCATCATACTGCGGCATAAATACTCAATGAAAAACTAATGATGCGTGTGACACGTAATCTATTATGAATACCTTTAACCAACTAACCACAACAGCAAGTATACAAGCCCAGAAGCTTTTGTTAACGTGGCTTTCTGAAACAAATAAGCTATTTTTCATTTCTCAAACGCGAAGGGGATATAGCTCAGTGGTAGAGCATTCGACTGCAGATCGAGAGGTCCCTGGTTCAAATCCGGGTGTCCCCTCAGCTTTTTTTTTTAAATGCAAGTCTATAAAAATAAACAAAATGACAGAATTCACTTAGTTTAGCAATAACATGTAACAAAATCGCCAAATCTTGGAATCTAGGATTCTTTTAAAGATATGTATTATTAACAAAAAGAGGCGCGTAATACATTCCACACTAAAAAGCATCTTTAAAGCTTTAATAATGATTTCACATAATATCACAGATTCGATCTTTACCATGATTAAGCAGAGTTGTACAATTTTATCATCCAAAATAGGTGACTGGACCTGAATTATAGAATTAGGTCATCAGCCTATAAAAATGCAGACACCAACCAACCCTGATTTTCCAAAAGCCACGGTTATTGTATGTGTATTATAATAGCCTAACGTAAACAGTGGCGTATTTATGAGTCTTGGGTGGGTGGAGGTCTGATAAGGGACGCGAAGGTGAGGTGAGGGGGTTCGATTTTTTCGATTTTCAGCTACTAATTTGAGCGTGATTTTTTTGCTTCGGACATTCTCAATGGGGAAGACTGGGGTAGCATTCTCGCCACCCCTAGATACTCAACTAAACGTAAGAGCAATTTAGACTAAAACGCAATGCAACATCTCTTGTGTGGCTTGTGTGAACCACTAACTTTAAAGTAGCATCAAATCTGCTGTACAAAACAAACTAAGATACTCTACATCAAAATGCGAAATGCAGGCCTAAAAGTTATACCATTTCATATACAAATTGATGAGACGCAATACAATATAAAATAAAATTGAATTAAAAAAGTTAAAGTTGTTCGTGCCCAAGTTTTCAATATAAAACCTATTATAGCTGCTACTAACGCCTCACATCGTATAGCCTATTCAGGTTTCGCAAATAATATCGATCGAATACACAATGTCCTGCTTGAAATTATCTGATGCACCCCACCCCGCCCCCATCCTCATTTTAAGGCAGGCCTTTTATTAAGTTGTTATGTTCTGCCCTAATTATCGACGAACTTGGTTTTGATTATACTTTGGTTGCAATTATTTATGCTTTTCTTGATAAACATTGACATTAAAAAGTTCACGAATTCTGACAACATAGGGCTTCTCGATATGCACGCCTGTAGCTTGGGCTGATTGTTGTGTACAACGACGCAGAAATAGAAGCATTAAGGTATAAAGCACCGACTAAGAAATCGCCAACTATTCCTCCAAATTTTAAGTAATCTACCAATGATTTTCCTGCCGTCTGATTGAAGAAATATATAAGACCTCCGATTAAATAAGGCACACAGTAAGGTGCTAAACACACGAAGTATATGGTATTGTTGAGGGCAAGCATTGTGCTCAAACGATGGCGCCGTTGTTTATGTCTTCCTTCGGTAGCCGATCGTTTAACGTGATCGGAGTATGCTCGAATCAACTTCAAGTAGCAATAGCAACTAAAGACAAATGCAAGAGCAAACGGTAACCCTTCCATTAAGCAACCATATGCCCACAGAATACCGTCTGCTTCAAGGAGTTCCACACTAACTATAGGATATGCGGAATAGACATCATCATCAGGCCAAATTAGACAATTCACTTTAAAATTCAATTTTAATGGTAGTAGCATCAGTGCAAAAGTGAACCCAGTAATCCAGACGAATGATATTTGTTTTTTCGTTGTGTCGAGATTGAAAAAAGATGTTATTCGATATCGTTTAAAAATTTGTCTCATCAAAGATGGATTGTTGTCGATACGATGTTTGAATATAGAAGAATACCTCACATGCGCCACTAGAGTTATTGATAGCAAAGACGCATGGTACGAAGTCTCAATCACAATCTGTGACAAAATTGAGACTGTCGTATTACGGACATCATAGACACACCAATTACTGTGACAACGAACAATCTTCTCACCAATGGCAACGAAAAGAAATATCATATCAGATATAGCTAAGCTGCTCAGTAAGGCATTTGTCCCGCTGTGCATACGTTGTACACGGAACATAACGTACAGAAACAACGCATTGTTGACCAAGCCGAATGCAAGCAGAGCGATGTATACTTTCTTCAAATATAAAACATAGACATCACTGAATCTGTTCATCGTCATGTTAAAGTCTATAGGCCTAAAATCATCAAATGATTTTATTCCTGATAAATTAAAGTACTCGTCGCAGTCATCTATATACGCCATTTGTAGGCGGTAAATGCCGAAAACCGTCGTTACAATGACTTAATCACGGACAGTCGGAACATAATTCAATAATAGGAACGCAATCCATTCGTTTTCAGCACGTTTCGTTTTCCGTTTCTTCGACGAGCTATTTATAGCATTTGCAAAATACGCGTTCACACGCGTTGATGTTTTTCCTTGTCTAATCACGATAAAAACGCATTTGTCATGGATACATTGTTTAAGATACCCAAAGAGTTTAATTTGAAAGCGCACATGTAAACATCTCGAGTACCATCTGTGTACAAGTATCGTCTAAATTGTAGCTGAGATGATTCACTGACTTGATTAAGCGACAAGAGAAATGTAAGATAGGTATTTTCAAGTCAGGTTCTACGTCAATTAATATAAATAACAGCGGATTGATGTTCTATTGCTGCGCTTGGTCTAAACATACTAACGGCTTGTCGTAAAATGCAGACCAATTGAAGATTCCTTATGACGACACTGCTTTTATATTCATAATATGGTTGGGATGGGACTTAATTAGATCGTTACTCAGTGGCGTGATTTGCATAATTATGAACATTTTGGAGTGTATTGTTTAGAGATTCAACATTTATTCAAGCATTGTTCTTTTTTCTGTTTTTTTTTTATAAATATGAATTACAGGCAATTATTGTCTTGCACGTATCCATTCTTCAATTTTTAACTTCTTTTCTTCGAAATTGAGATTCCACACACAATTATCTCCATTTCCTTGAAGTAATGAATCAATTTTCATTATGGCAACCAGAGATGTGTATAAGAGACAGGCAACCATATGCCCACAGAATACCGTCTGCTTCAAGGAGTTCCACACTAACTATAGGATATGCGGAATAGACATCATCATCAGGCCAAATTAGACAATTCACTTTAAAATTCAATTTTAATGGTAGTAGCATCAGTGCAAAAGTGAACCCAGTAATCCAGACGAATGATATTTGTTTTTTCGTTGTGTCGAGATTGAAAAAAGATGTTATTCGATATCGTTTAAAAATTTGTCTCATCAAAGATGGATTGTTGTCGATACGATGTTTGAATATAGAAGAATACCTCACATGCGCCACTAGAGTTATTGATAGCAAAGACGCATGGTACGAAGTCTCAATCACAATCTGTGACAAAATTGAGACTGTCGTATTACGGACATCATAGACACACCAATTACTGTGACAACGAACAATCTTCTCACCAATGGCAACGAAAAGAAATATCATATCAGATATAGCTAAGCTGCTCAGTAAGGCATTTGTCCCGCTGTGCATACGTTGTACACGGAACATAACGTACAGAAACAACGCATTGTTGACCAAGCCGAATGCAAGCAGAGCGATGTATACTTTCTTCAAATATAAAACATAGACATCACTGAATCTGTTCATCGTCATGTTAAAGTCTATAGGCCTAAAATCATCAAATGATTTTATTCCTGATAAATTAACTGTCTCTTATACACATCTAGATGTGTATAAGAGACAGGTGTAGGCCTTAGCCTAGCCCCAGGGCCTAGGCCTATCTCGGCATTTTTAGTACTGTACTACTACTACTTGGCCTATGCCTACTACTAGCCTAGTATCCTAACCTGGCACACCAGTAAATGAGCCGACCCATCTAGCTTGCCTTACCCCATATAGGCTACTAAAGCTAGCCTAGCCAAGCCTGCCAGGGTAAGTAATCTCAGTGAATTTACAAAAATTACACCATATATTTACTCCTAAATATGGTCCTTGATCGTCTTCATCAAAATCTGATCCAAGATCGGACATATTGCAAGTCAAAATGTATTTATAAAGTATAAAAATGCTGTTGTCAACCTGCAATATTTAACAAGGTTACAGTCGACGTTGTTCCGTTTGTACTGACCGTACCATAGCAACGGTAAAGCTGAGTTTCTGTTTAGATTCACCTATTATTACGCTAGGATGAAATACTTTACAAAACGAAAGAATTACGTAAGGTTATAATACATTTGGAGAAAGATGAATATTCACAATATTTACAATATTTAAAATTTAAATTACTTATGTAGTTTATATAATGATCAGATTAAAATAACATACAAGTAAATATCATTAGTGAATGCTAATTGCCACAATCAATAATGGTGAAGTCTGTCGAAGTAGGATCGAACTAACAATAGTCGAAGCTGCACGACTCAAACGAATCAAATGTTTGTCTTGGGTGCTTTAACAAAAAGAAGAAGAAAAAAAAGATACTTTTAATTTGATAAACTTCTTTATAATATAACGTATAGACTTAACATTAACCGTATTTCTTGATACAATGAATTAATATTCATATCCCTTATGACTGTTATCCTATACTTGTGTCAAGTTTTATATATATGTCATCGTATATCGATACATTCAACAATATCATTCAACAAATATGGTATATTCTCTGTCTTTTGTGTACAAAGAAATAGATTAAATAATAATTTATTTAATTTATTATATTGATATAAATACGTTTTCTTTTAAATATTTAGGCTGTTATTGTAATGTAAATGTTAAAGATTTGTGTGGCCTATGTTCCGTCTTGTAGTTTAGGCCTATATGCAATACCTTTTTTAATTTCCAATACAATAAATTAATAATTAAGTATTTATATGTATTTTTATTATTTATTTAGGCACACAATACATGTGCCAAGGATTGTCAATAGCGAATATATCACTGTCCTACTAGGTGACAATCCCTTACACGATGCTTTTACACAAACTAAATCTCAATATGAGATTTAGTGGAGTTGTTTTGGTCGTGAGAAAAAATTCTGCAACACTGACAGGAATTGAACCCAGGACCCTGCAATTGGAAGGCAAGCATCTTAACCACCAAGCTATTCAACTCCACTTATATATGTATATGCAATAACTTTTTTAAATGTCATTAAAAAATTTTATTATTAATAATATAACAATTCATTTGTACAATAGGATAATGTTTCTGTCTCTTATACACATCTAGATGTGTATAAGAGACAGTATATATATAGCTCTATGTATATATATATAGCTCTATGTATAAAGCGTAATATGTAGGCCTAATGCCTCCACCCGTGTTCCTGAAATGTTATATAGGCCTATATTCACAAAGATGATTTTGGTGCTTGAAAATCAGAGTAGAAAAGAAGCTTATATACAGTAGGACAGTTTACATTTTATATACTCTTAAAAATCTTTTCGAAGATCCTCTTCCCATCTTCCCGTCGTTTAAAGTGCTAAAGATGGATGCATCGTATGGTATAATATTGATCTCTCAATCCAGAACCTTGTTCCACGTATTATTTGCATAAGAGTGTGTAGACTGAGTTGCTTCAAGCTAGGTAGTCCCAGTAGCATAGATGGTTAGGCGTCTGTATAGACAGCGGAAGATCCCGGGTTTAAATCTCGGTGGGGGCAACATTTTTTTAAACATTCCGTTAATAGGCCCATGTACTGTATATTATTGTATTGTTTATACAGCATTGTCATTAGCAGTATCATAATTATCAATCCCGAAATTGTTAGCTCGGGTTTGCAAAATCTAAATTTGCACCAAAGAAATTATCCTGCAAATAATGACTATGAAATCGATGTTAGGAGCTTTAAGCGACCGATGTAATTTCCGTGAGAACAAATCCATTTGATTATTCTTCTGATGTGTACATTTAGGCCTAAGAATAAAGCAATGCCATGTCCGATACTCGGGACAACCTTCATTCTAGACGCGGACGAGGTCCACGTGGTGGTGGTCGTGGTTCCCGTTACTCCAGCAGACAAGCACACCAAAAATATTCATCAACAGAAAGGCAAGTTACTGTTTTAGGCCTAATCAATGGTGGAGCCTATAAATTAAGGTGGTAAATGTATTGTATGGTGTACGTTGGAGAGAGATTTTCAATTTTGTGGTGGCTCGAACTTAGCCCTAAAAATTTTGATGATTGCAAATTGATCCGTAGCCCTACTTATGACAAAATGCAACTTAACGGTGGTAGTTTGTATCTAGTTGGGTTGGGGATGGTTTTGGGGGAGTGACGAGAGATAATAGTGCCAAACAGCATTGTTTGGCATGAATGAACTTCATGTAAAACGGTGATGGGCGAGTCTGACTTTTGTAATTACAGTAACACAGGGGTGGGTCCTTTGCCTGACTTGGGGGGGGGGGGTCCGATGTCCCCGACAAGAGGAAAGTGGGCGTGGTCGGGTGTCGCTTGAAATCTTTTGAAAAAAATTAGGGGTCTCAAATGATTATTTAATCGATTTTAAAGTCAACTAATAAAGAAAATACATGATTTATTTTTCCCCAACGAAATGTGGTTTTCTCCACGACCACCCTGCAGTAAAATAACAGTCATAAATCATAGTTCTATTTCAAATCGTTTTGATATTGACAGACTGAATGTGAGCGCACACGACAGCTTCGGTGGTCATGGAAATGCAAATGACAATGTGGAGGGATATGTAGAGGATACTGGTGACCCGTCAGTACGGCGAAAAAGCAGATCTATGGCCCAGCATAACAATTACACCGGACGGGGTCGGAATAGATCAAATAGCCGAACAGATAACAGATACCACAATGCTGAAGCTGGCGTGCAGGCTGCCCGGCCTAGTGGTGACGGTGGTTTCAGGCCCAAACGAGAAGTAAGACCAACAGGTAAGTTTTACCAGGGAGTATAGAGGGTGATTATCAAAGATACTAGAAATACAAGATAGAGTTCTCCACACAAAAAAAGTGTTCCACCGTGTTCCACCGAAATGCATGGTGGGAATACGAAAAATGGGACGCCCCCTACAGCTGGATCTAAAAAAAC